GACGCCACCAAAATCAGTGTGAGTTTTTGATAATGACTTCTCACAAGGGCTCTCATGGAGGACTCAGATGTAACTTACAGAATATTTGGGGGGTCCAGTTCAGCGGGGAGCTTGGGCATGAAGACAGAGAAGAAAAAGAGAAAGAAAGAAAGAAAAAAGGCCTCGTTCTGTTTTTTAAACACCAGAGATTTTTCAAGTCCATTGAATGACAAGCACAAAAAATGCCGAGGAGAGAAGATGCATTCTCTCCTGTCGGGGCCAAGGCTGTGTGCGCCTGGATGCGTCATGCCTATTTCAGCAGCATTTTTTATCTGGGGAAACAAGGTCTAATGAGACAGAGTCAGCTTTTTTGGGCCCGTCATGATTGACTGCCACAGCATCTCACGGTCACTCGGTGATCCCGCTCTCGGGGTTGGGGCTACTACAGCCAAAGGACTGCAGGACCGGCCAGGCCTCCGCATGCAGTGGCTCATGTTATCCAGAGGAAAGGCCAAGCATCTGCCCGTTTTACAGGTGGAGCAACCAAGGCTCAGAGGGGTCCAGGACTTGCTAGAGGTCACGACAAGAGTGCTCGGGATTGCTGAGCCTACTAACTTGAAAGCGCAAACTCCTGTCCCCGGGCTGTGCTGGAGCCCAGTAATCCCAGGGACTCAGCTGGGAGTGAGGCCTCAGGGAGAGATGGTTTTTGTGGGGAAGACACCCAAAGCCAGGCCTGGAAGAGGCAGGCCAGAGAAAGAAGGCCAAAGGAGAGAGAACACTGAGTGGAATGGATGGACCTGGGGTGCCATGGGGCCAGGCTAGATTTGTGCATGGGGCATGAGGTCAGCTGACCAGGAGGCCCGAAGCCCGCCACAGCAGACTCAGAAAATGCCGGTGCTTGCGGGAGTCTGAGTGTGTAGGATGTGACTTCTCCCACTGTGCTCCTTTCCTCTGGGTTCTTCTACAACTTTTCAAGGGCTCGTGGGGCACTCAGGGGCCCAGAGGCACAGAGGAGACCTGCCTCCAAACCAGAGGTTGCAGAGTAGAGAGGGGGAGACACAGGGGGGTATAGGAGACACAGGGGTGCTGGGCAGACCTTGGAGTGGCAGTGTGGAAGCAGGGAGGCCAGGGTGGAGAGGTGTGCAGACGAGAGCAAGGACCTCTCTGAAGCATCATCTGTACCATGCCCAGAGCACCATTGGCATCTGCAAACTCAAGCCATTTCCAGCTCAGGGGGGCAGCCAGTCCCCGTACTCTCACCCATACTCTCACCCCTGCCCCTGTGCTCTCAGCCCTACCTGCACCCTCTGCCAGGGGCAAATGTCCCATTTCTTGCCCAAACGCCCATCGGGTAAGCCGGGGCAGGTAGAGAGCCGTGTGTGTGTTAATACCCCCACTCACCGCAGCTCTCTCTCCTATGACTTTGTTTGGAGTTTAAGGAGCGGCAGTCTGAGGAGAGAGTAATCTAATTGACTTAGAGGATTAGAATTCGAGGCTGCAGGGGCCCCACGTGAGGGGAATGCGGCGATGCTAATTACTTAAATAAAATAAATGTGCCCAGCATGATTGGGCAAGCACCCCACCCCAGCCCCTGCAATTCTGCACCAGCTGGGGCTCTGGGGGGTCTGCTAGCGCACACTGCCCAGCTCCCTGTGCAGCCACAAAAATGACTAAATGCTCTTAAATACGCAGACTCAGAGCTGGCTGCCATCTCTAGGCAGGTGCACCTTGGGTTCCTGCAACCTGAGGAGAAGGCTCCATGACCTTGGGGTCCCTGTGTGGCAGCTCTGCCCACCCTTTAGTTCATCTTGTCTTGTCCGACCTTGCTCCCCCCCACGCCCCCCCCGTCCACTCTGGCAGCCTCTCCTTCATTCCTTCCCACCTCGGACCTCCACATAGGCCAGTCCCTCTGCCCGAAAGCAGTTCCTCTCTCTCTGCCCTCAGAGCTTAGACACCTCCCTTGACCCTGGGACTCAGCCAGCGTTCCTCTTCCCACCCTGTGGCTGCATTTCTGGTTGTATATTTTCATCGCTGGTCCAGCCAGAGATGGAGGGACGGGGACTGCCCGACCTGCCCGGCCTGCCTCACTGCGACATTTCCAGGGCCTGGCACAGAGCCTGGCACGAGCTAGGTGCCCGAGAAATATTTATCAAATGCCTACTTCACATACGAGCATGTGCCCAGGCTAGCATGTGTACAAGCCCATCACAGGTTGGATAGACACCCACCACGTGATGTGGACACTGTGCCCACGTGTGTAGGTGTAAGGTGATGTGAGTGAGCAGGAGGAAGAGCTAGGCATGGACCGTGGGGGTGGGGACCCTACATCCTGTCTCAACAGAGCATGGCTCTGAGCCAGGCAGGGTGCCAGGCCTGGTATTCCCAGGTCTTCTGAAAATCCCAATTTCAATGAAATATCTCCTGGTTTCTAACTGTTGGGACCTAATTTGATCCTGAAAACCCTGCGTGAGCCGAATAGGGCAGTCTCCAGGCCCGGCAGCCTTGGAGCCTACGGGGGTCATAGGTTCGTGGGATCAGGAAATGCCGTCAGCTTCCAGGAGCTTGGAGGGGCCAGGACTTGGCAGACCTTGGGAAGGTTCGGGCTCTGAGAGTCACAGGGGCTGAGTTCAGGCAGCTTTCATGAGGACATTTAGCATCCCAGGAGCTGCGTCCTGGTCCAGCCCTGCCATCCCCACGTCTCCTGTCCCCCACTAGCTGCCGTCTAAGGCATGTGTGAGAACACTTTGGAAACTGTCAAGTGCTAGGGTGTGGCTGTGTGAATGACAGTGGCTACCAGGGTGGAAGCTTCGCATGAATTCATGAGCTCCTAGAATGAGGGCAGGAAACGGCAAGGGAATAAAAAGAGCTCAGAATCTCGGAGGGAGCTGACTGATGTGGGAGGCCAGGCATCTGTAATAAAGTAATAATAATAGTAATAGAGCCGCTAGCATTTATGGGGTGCTTACCATATGCCAGGAACCATGATGAGCGCCTGGCAGGAATGAGCTCGTTTAACGTGGGGCCTGGGAAGGGACCCCTGGCCTGCAAACTTCTCCCTCGGCAGCTTGCATATGCCGAGGGTTCCTCTGTTTGGGCCTCATTCCTGCAGTGCAGGCCCACACTTCTGCTTATCGGCCCTTTTCAAGTTCTGGAAGGTTTTCGTTTGCTCTGACTCATGCCCTTTGTGGTGCTAGAATTTGGGTTCATTTTCCGCTCACTAGTTTCGCAGGTCGCGTTTGTCCCGTTGTTCTCATCTTAAGACCAGCTGAACAAGGTGAATTTTCCACCTCCTTCCCTCCTCCAGTCCCCGGGGCCCTTCACCACTATCCACCAGCTGTGACTGGGGCTCACATTAAGCAGAAGATGGTTCTGGGAAGGCCACAGTCACACACGCCCAGCCTCTGCCCTCTGCAGCTCTTAGTCCAGGGTGGGAGATGGACATTTATTCAGAATCTCACAGGATAAAAAACAGCAACTGCGACCATCAAAGCAGAGCAGGAGGACTGCCCTGGGATCTGAGGTCTGGGGACCAAGAGGGCTTCCTGGAAGAGGTGCTATCCAAAGTGAGCACAGAACTAGGTGAGCTGATAAAGAGTGAGTGACAATGCCAGTCTGTGTACTGGAGGAACTAGGAGAGGCCCAGGGAGGTAGGGGGCAGGCAAGAATAAGACCTTTAGCTCTGCCTGCCCCTGGAGGAGCACGGAAGGGAGTTAACGGGGCATTCTAAGAAGATCCGTGTGGCTATCGGTGAAGAACAGAGTAGAAGGGGCCTGCGTGGTTTCAGGAAATCCTTGGAAGGGGCTGGGGTGTGGACCCAGATGACAGAGGCTGAAACATGGCGGTGGCCAGTGCTGGGGGATTCCAGTGGAGATTTGATGGGACTCAGGGATGAGCCGTGCTGGAATGGGAGGAGAACAGGAGACATGACTGGCCGGTCTGGTTGGAGCAGGAGAGGCCTTCAGAGCCCAGGTCTGGGAAGCCCCAAATTGGGGCTGAACACACAGGAGCTGGAGAGGCGGCAGGTTAGAGCTGATGGAGGCTTGGGGCATGGTCCAGCCTGGGCCTTCCCACCCCCTCCTTCCCAGGCCGCAGTTGCCATCCTGGGCTCAAGTCAGCACCACCCATTCTTGCTGGTCCGGCTGGAAGGAAGGAGGGGGCCTGGGGTGCCCCTGCCACATCTGGAAAGGCCTGGGTTGGGGGGCCAGTGGGGAGGAGGCTGAGTTGGGCACGGTGAGGACACAGCCTCGTCTCTTTCAGCGTAATTAGGTGCTTAATTGCACCGCGAAGGCCTGTCGATGGCCAAGCCGAGGTGATTATGATTTACAGCCAGGCCGCCATGGCGGGGTCCCCTCTCCTCTGGCCTCTCCGCTCATGCTGGAGGGTTGTGCCAGAGGGTTTTCTGCACAGTTTGTGAGTGATGGACCCCAACAGGCTGCTCCCGCCAACCCCAGGAAGCAGTAGTGGAATATTGGGCTCCTTCCATGGTTGGGGACTGGGCTCCCCCAAGACATGGAGTGTTGCAGGCCTCGGAGATGAGGCTGGAGGATGTGGGAAGACAGACCTGTGGCACTGTTTCTGGGAGATGTGGGACCAGCCCAGTCGGTGTCGCCAGTAGGCGTCATCGGGTACCCTCGCGGCCCTGCGTCGGGGTCATGGTGAGACTTGGACCGAGGAAGCCATGGCTCGCGTCTGCAGAACCGTGCGCTCAGGAAACTTAGCCGCCAGCACGAGCGCTGTCATTACTGTTCTTGTCATCTGCCTTCTCTGGCCGTGGAGAAGGCACAGACCCCGGGCTGGGAGGAGCCGTGTCCTCGTGTGTGCTCGCCCGTGTCCTGCTGGCTTACGGTCGGGCCACGCGGGTATGGCTGGTTCACAGCTCTATCTCCTGCTGAGTAGGGGCTTGCCGAATGTTTGTTGCCTGAATCAGTGATCTAGCCCGAGGAACCCGAGACCAGGGTGCGGCAAGGTGCACGGGTCAGGGCCCAGCCTCCCGGCAGCACTCCTGTGCTCCCATCCCCCGCGTCTCTAGAGGGAAGATCTCGTCCTGCTGAGGGCTGCACAGGCCGAGGGGGTAGGGGAAGGGGGGATGGAGCTGGCTGCTCCTGGGGGTCTGGTCCCACTTTAGCCATTGCCTTGGGGGAGGGGCGTGGGCAGAGGCCCGCTGTGAGCGCTCCCTCCCCCGAGCTGGGCTCCCAGTGCTTCGCATTATTACTCCATTAGCGCCTTGTAGGGTTGACAAATGAAGGATAATTAATATCCGTGAGGGAAACAGATGTTGAGGTAATTCGCTCCCGCTGTGCATTTGCAACGGCATCTCCTCGCTCGCCTGAGAGCGGGCAGGACCGCGGGCCCCTCTGTGCCCTTGGTAGGAGGAGATGGAGTCTCAGGTCAGGGTGGGTTCTGGCCCGACCTGCCATTGAGGAGGGGGCACCAAGAGGGGCACCCAGAAGAGCTCTGCCCTTGGCATTGGCAAGTTCTGCGTTGTCCCTCCTCGGTGCCTCTTACCGTGCCCTCAGACCCTTTCCCTGCTTCACGGAGGGTGAGGACCAGCAGGGAGGCTCGGCCTAAGGGAGGACCGCCAGGCTACCTGCACCCACCCACCCACCCACCTTCGTTCTGGAGCCAGAGGGGCCGCCGTGGCCCTGCCAGCTCCACATGACCCTCTGTAGGCCTGTCCCATTACGTGGAGAGTGGGAGAGCTCCGAGTTAAGCCTGGGTGCAGTCCTCAGCTCTGCCACGCCCTGGGCAAGCCTCAGTCTCTGCATCTGTAAAGCAGATGTCCTCGAGGTGTGACCTACAGTCAGAGGGCATGGCGTCTCGGGCCACATCAGCTGGACGAAGGAGGAACTGGGCTGAGTCCACGCTCCAATAAGCACGCGTTATTATACTGGGTGTGGGGCTCTGAGATGGTCACTCACGTGGACGAGAGAGATTGTCGCTGCCCTCATGAAGTTACGGGTTAACAGGGAGAGAAACCAAAATCAAGTCAACAGACAAATTAAATGGTTCAAAACACGATGACGGCTGTGCAGGAAATAGGGTTGTGCCCGGCGGAGGGCGAGGCGTGGTGGTGATGGGCCAAATTCTCCTTGGAGGAAGTTACTCTGAGAATGAGTGGGGTCTGGTGAAGGCAGACAGGCCGACAGGGACTAGCCCCCACTCAGAGACCAGCAGACGGAGGCTGTGAGGTCAGAAGGGCTTTCACATTGAAAAAGAAAAGAGGCTTCCTAGGGAGGCCAGAGCAGATAGCGACATGGTAAGTGTGTGTGTGGTGCACATGCACGAGTTCTTGCAGAGGCTCAGGAACTAGAGACATGTCTGCAGGCTGAATGTGCTCTCTCAAAAGCCAGCCTACTGCTCACTCTGGCCCCCTTTCTGCAGGGGTGACTAGCAGGGCCTCCCCACCCAAAACCAAAAACTGGGTGTGTGCCTCTAGGAGCCAGGGCTTGGGAGGAACAGGCCAGCTGCTCATCCCTCCAGAAGAACCGAACCCATAGGGCTCAGGACTGAGGCGTGTAGGCCTGGGCCTGGCGAGCCTTAATAGCAGCGGGTGGTACAATCACGGGGCAAAGCCATTGGGAAGTGACCAGTAGGCGTCTGGGGACTGATCTCTGCTGTTTGGGTGGGGCCAGGGCTGTAGGGGATGGGGCTGGGCTTCTTCCAGCTCTGGGTAAGACAGGATCAAGGGAAGGATGGAAGCCCCCTCCCATCAGCTTCCCCAGTGGCGTATCTTCACTGACCAGGTGCCTTTTCTGTTTTAGTTTTTAAAAAGCTTCATAGCAGCTTTATATTCCTGGCAGATTTATTTATTTATAAGAGCTTTAATCTGGAAACTGCCAAGTGTCCATCAACTGGTGACTGCCTGAACAAATGGTATATTCATTTGGTGGAATACTAGACAGCATTGAAAAAGACCAATGGGCACACATGACAATGTGGAGGGAGCTCACTGATGTTACATTGTATGGAAGAAAACACTCGAAAGGGCTCCAGAGCAGGAGGCACAGCTGTGGTGGTAGAATGAGGCGAGCGCTTCATCCTGGGAAGGGAAGCTCTGATGAGCCGCACAGGGTATGTTCTAGAGGCTTCTAAGTGTACTGAGCCTTGCTCTGATCATGGCCACACAGGCGTATAAGAAGATTTCACCAAGCTTCGTACGCTTTACTGTGTGTAAGTTAAACTTATTTTCAGATTAAAAACTTTAAAACTCACATACAACAAACACAAAGCCAAAGTATGAAGAAAATATAACAAATATTGGTATATTTTTTTGCCCCCTTCAATGGAGTGAGCAGTTATTAGTATCCTGATACACTCGTAATCAGCTTTTATTATTATTATTATTTTTTAAACAACTGTAATCTTTCAGCATAAGCAAAGACTTCACTTGCAGTCTGCCTCAGGGCATCATCCCTGCCACAGAGGCAACTTCTGTGGGTCTGCTCTGTGCTCTCCTAACCACTTTTTTTTTTAAGAATTATTTATTTAATATTATTATTATTATTATTTTATTTGACCAGAAAGAGAAAGAGAAAGTGAGAAAGTAAGCTGCCAGGTCTGGGACTCGAACCATGAGCAATTCTGTGGGAGTCCAGCGCCTTAACCACCACGCCACCTGCTGGCCCCCCTAAGTATTTTAAAGCTCTTGGCACAGAGGGCTGCAAAGCCGGAGCAGAGTGTGCGCCACGTGGTGGGGTACAGAAACGGTGTTTTTGCCACGAGAACCCTCTCTCCCCGCGAACCTCTAATTCTTTCTGAGGGGTGTGCGGCAACTCCACACGGTGAACTGACCACTTTTCAGGCACATTAAAGTTGCCATTTCTTTCCTTTTTGACTATTTAACTCACTCTTGTGCAGACCTCTGCGCGTGTGCCCTTGTGGCATCCCGGGGTCCAGCCTAGGATGGGATCCCAGCATCCGCCCCCGACCCGGGTTTTCCTGGCTTCCGCCCCGCGGACAGGTCACGGTCTCTCTGTCGCCCCCAGGTGGTCAAGGTGGTGGGCAGCAACATCTCCCACAAGCTGCGCCTGTCCCGGGTGAAGCCCACGGATGAAGGCACCTACG